TATAATAGGCCCCTTGTACTGTAATAGTCCCCCTGTACTGTAATAGTCCCCCTCTATTGTAATAGTCCCCTTCTACTGTAATAGTGCCCCTCTACTGTAATAGTCCCCCTCTACCATAATAGTCCCCCTCTACTATAATACGCCCCTTCTACTGTAATAGTCCCCCCTACTGTAATAGAGTATAGTCCCCCTCGACTATAACAGTTCCCCCTGATATAATAATTCCCCTGCATTGTAATAGTCCCCCTCTACTGTAATAATCCTCCTACTATAGTAGTTCCCCTGTAGTATAATAGTCCTCTCTACTGTAACAGTCCCCCTCAACTGTAATAGTCCTCCTCTACCATAATAGTCCTCTCTAATAATAGTCCACCCATGCTTAATAGTTCCCCTGTACTATAATAGTCCCCCCTACTATAACATTCCCCCTCTACTATAATAGTCCCTCCACTATAACATTCCCTCTCTACTATAATAGTCCCTCCACTATAACATTCCCCCTCTACTATAACATCCACCCCTGCTGTAATAATTCCCCTGTACTGTAATAGTCCCCTCATTGTTATAGTCCCTACTATAACAGTACCCTCTACTGTAACAGTCTCCCCTAGTGTAACACTTTCCCTCCACTGCAATAGTCCCCCTTTACTGTAATAGTTCTTTCTACTGTAACAGTCCCCTCTGCTGTAATAGTTCCCCTATACTGTAGTCTTCCCCCCCTACTGTAACAGTCCACTCTAATAGTCCCCCTCTATTGTAATAGTCCCCCTAATATAACAGCCCCCCTCTACTATAATAGTCCCCCTCTGCTATAACAGTCCCCCTGCTGTAATAATTCCCCTGTACTCTAATAGTCCCCCCACTCTAATAGTCCCCCTTACTATAACAGTCCCCCTCTACTATAACAGTCCTCCTCCACTATAATTGTCCCCCTCTACTGTAATAGTCCTCTCCAATATAACCATCCCCCCCCACTGTAATAGTGCCCCTCTACTGTAATAATGCCCCCTCTACTGTAACAGTCCCCCTTTAACTGTAATAGTTCCTTCTACTGTAATAGTCTCCCCTCTATTGTAATAGTCCTTTTCCCCACATCATCAGACCCTTGCCTCATATCCCATGTCCCCTGACACTGAGCAGTGTCCCCTCCTGTTCCCATGTCTTACTACCCCTCTCACTACATGACAGCTGTGGAGTACAGACAGGGATCTTCAAAGATCTGACCCAACTCCCAGGGCAGCTCTGATACGCCCTCCAGACAGCACCTGAGTGGGCCTGGAGGGCTCCCAAAGAGCCCTGACCCCTGATCAGCGAGGTCCTCTATACCCTGTCCTTACAGCTCAGGGGACAGATGCAAATATGCTGAAGGTCACAGTGGGGGCTGAGTGGCTAGGCCAGTTCCTAGCGCTGCACTCCCATCTGCTGACTCCACTGGAAAGTCCTTCTCCCTCCCTAACCCTAACCCCCAGCCAGAGGTGCCAGTGCCCACCTGGCAAGGTTCCCACTCAGCAAATAGTTGTCAGGTGATAAGCAGATAGTGAGCAAGCCCCGAGGCCTATGCCCCAACATTCCCTCCTCCCGACATTCCAACATTCCCAGATCCAGAAACACTCTCCCTCCCCAGTGTGAGGGCATCAGGGAATAAAGGCCTGTCCCAGACAGGCCCCTGGTGACCAGTCACAAGACTCTATCCAGGCCCTTTCACAAACCACCAGGAGTGTCACAGCCTCAAGTTGTCACGGGGCACCAGCAGCTGCCTCTCTGGAGGCACAGACCCCCCAGGGAACCCTGGCTTCTATCCCTGCCTATGAACCCTGCCCCACCAAGGGTCCTGGGTAGGAGATGAGAAGCCCCTGGGCCTGAGCTATAGGAGGGCAAATAAACCCCTCCCTGTCCCATGAAGACTGACCTGCTCCCTTGTCCCTGGAGGACTCTGAGCCCTAAGGAGGTGGGCACTCACCTCCTGCTCCTCTGACTTTCCAGCAGCTCCTGCTGCTGCTCTCCCTGGGACACACAAGCACTTCCTAAAGTGCGTTCAGGCCATTGGGATTAGAGGGCGGGATCACTCCTCCCCTCCCCGCGGGGGAGGGCAGGCACCTCCCAGAGCCGACCTGTCCCAACTGGTTGAAAACACCGTCCTCAACTCTGACAGAGAGAGCCCTCATGGCCAGGGCATCACTGTCCAGGGTCAGACAGGGCCAGCTGCAGCTGAAAACACCGTCCCCAACTCCAGCAGAGGCCCCACAGCCAGGGCACCACTGCCCAGGTGCTGTCAGGGGCCAGGTCCTCATAGACCAGGGAACAGGGGGACACTCTGGGTACCAGGGTGTCCTGACAGTGACAGAGAGTCTGCCTATCCTCCAGGTTGGGGAACAAGGGACCAAGAGGACGTCCTGACTGGGTCCCCACAGTGTCCTTCAGGTAGGGGGACAAGTGACACCTGGGATGCCCAATCACTGCACCCTTTAGGTCAGAGGGGCCCTCCCAGGGGTTGTGGAGGACATTGTGACCCTGCTCTGGCCACTGTCCTCTGCAGTGGCCATTCGTGGCAGGAGCAAACAAGCACTTTATCTGAAGTCTGGTTGCCACATATCTAGCAACAAGTGGCCGGCAGCCTCTGATCTGTGAGTGCCTCACCCAGCAAGCCGCCAAGTGCCAAGTGTCCTGGCTCTGGGTAGCCTCAGTCCCCTCCTGTGGGTCGTTGCTCCTCCCAGAGAAGGTCCCCCAGCTTGCTTCCTGCACACTGACCCTAAACTGACCTAGTGCCTGGGTCCAGGTCTGTCTACATTTGCTCTGCCTCCCCCGCCTGCCTGGGCCAGCATGGCCTTCAGAGAGTGGACTCACACAGGGAAGCCACAGGGCAGGCTCAAAGCACTTGTGAGGGAGCCCATGTTCCTGGGCTGAGTTCTCCAGCTTTGCCAAGCCAGGAGCTTCTGTCCCTAGACCCTTTCTGTCCTGGTCTCCCTGTCCTGTCAGTAACCCCGGTGGGGGATACTGTGGGCACAGCTGCTCTCCTGTGGGGACAGACATGCCATCAGCCAGACTTCCTATCTCCCAGCTTCACTTGGGCCTGGTCAGCTCCCCTTCCCCTCCCTCCTCCTCTCCCTTCCTTCCCCTTCTTCCTCCTCCCACTCCGTTCCCCTCTCCCCTCTCCTCCCTCCCTTCTCCTCCCTCTCTCCTCCTTCTCCCTCCCCAGTCTTGAAGACTCCCTCGCCTGCAGCCCATCACTGCCTCCTTATGCCCACGTGTCCCTCCTCCCACAACCCCTGGAAGAGCTTATAAAATGCTCTGTGCCCTGCTGTGACATGGACCAGTGTCACAGCAGCTGGGCTGTCCCCTGTATGCTCTTTCAGCTGAGTGTGGGCTGGACACTGTGGGTGGGGCACAGTGGGCTGAGGGCCATGGGCACATGTCTTAACTACCCTGTTGTGTTGCAAGCACAGATTGCCAAAGAGGCTTGAGTTAAGTAGGCTCAGATGAGTGGGGTCAACTCTGCCCAACCTCCTTGTGGCCAAAGCGGCTGTGTGTTCAGAGGGTGTTTGGGGGCTACTCACAGTGCTACCCGCGAGCACCCAGGCTTGGGTCTAGCCTTCCCAGGGGAGTGGAGAGCTGTCTTCTCTGTCCAGAGAATCCCACCACCTGTGTTTCAGTTTGGGATCTTTAAGGGGGAGCTCGCCCGCCCTTCAGTGATTAGCTAGAGATAAGAATTTTATCATGTGCAGGTCCTGTGGCACTTGGCCTGCCTGGAGGTCCCATCCTGGAGTCAGGGAGCAGAAGAGAGAGAGAGAGGGACCCCTGGGCCAAAGCCTTTAGGGGCCCAGGGCATTATCCAAACCGGAGTCTCCTGTATAGACCTACCTGGTCTAAGCCACAGGGCATGAGCTCCGCGGGTCTCACCATTACCCAGAGGGGTCCCTGTGGCACAACTAGACCATTCTTCCAGAGGTGGGGTTGGAAGCCACAGGGTCCCTAGAGAGGTGGGGTCAGAGGCTGCAGGGTCCCTGTGGGAGTGGGGTCAGAGGCTACAGAGTCCCTGGGGGTTGGGGTCGGTGGGGCCAGTGGGGCCACTGGGCAGGCTGCATCCGGCTGTACCTTGGTGGGTGATCAGTGGGGAGGGGGGTGCTAGGGCAGGTGTCTGGACTGACTACACTGAGAACAGGAGGCAGCAGGGTCAGGGCAGCTGAGCCCTTTCCTAGTGTGAAGAAGTCTAGGCAGCACTAGGGGTGGGTGACTCAGGCAATCAGTAGGCAATGGACTCAGAACACCCAGGCCCCCACCCTGCCCTGACTCAGGCCACTGGTGGGGTCCCTCTCGAGGGCAGTGCAGTAGGCAGAGGGCCTGTGAAGGTGTCCCCTGTTGGGTACAGTGATTTCCCACATCAGCCACCTGCGGACCCCTGTAGCCCCTCCTCAGACTGGGGGGACTTCCAAAGTCTTGCTAAATGTGGGGCACAAGGACAGGGTGGCACCCTCAGGACTCATGGGACCCCTGGTGGCTCTTGGGACTGGCTCAGAGAGTGTCCCCATGGGCAGATCCCAAGGCCAGGGAGGTCTTGTGCCCCTGGATGTAGAGAAGCTGTGTCCTAAGCACTGAGTGGGCTTCCTCTGCATCCTGAGTGGGCTTTCTGCATCCTG